TTCTCGTTGAGCGCCAGGCACTTAAGCAAAGTAAGTAGCAGCTCGCACAATGAGCCGAACGCCAAACACTTGCTAAAAATAAGAAGCCAAGTGGCAAGTGGCATTCTCGCCGAGCGCTAGGCACTTAAGCAAAGTAAGTGGCAGTTGGCACAATGAGCCAAATGCCAAACACTTACAAAAAATAAAAAATCAAGTGGCAAGTGGCATTCTCACCGAGCGCCAAGCACTTAAGCAAAGTAAGTGGCAACTGGCACAATGAGCTGAACGCCAAACACTTGCTGAAAATAAAAAGCCAAGTGGCAAGTGGCATTCTGGCCGAGCACCAGGCACTTAAGCAAAGTAAGTGGCAGCTAGCACAATGAGCCGAACGCCAAACACTTGCTAAAAGTAAAAAAGCCAAGTGGCAAGTGGCATTCTGGCCGAACACCAAACACTTGGTTAAAAAAAGATATTAAGAGGCAACAATGAGATGTTAAAAGCACTATAAGACAAAAGCTGGTTGAAAAACATCCATTTCATTGAATTTGTAATTAGTTTACATGTACAAGTACTGTTTTGACAAAACGAGTACAATGCAAAAAAAAGAGTGATATACTTCCAGGATGCTAATCAGTCCTGCCTGTCCCTCGGTCTCTTGACCTCGCTCAGAGTTCCCTTCAGTTTCATTGACTGTATTCTCCTTGCGGGGAGGAGAGTTAAGTTGAATGATTGTTCCATCCTGTTGAACGCCACCCTCAGCAGCAGGTGCAGCGGGAATCACGGAGGTCAAAGGGGGAACGTCTAGAGGTTGGATAGCCGAGGGGATAGGAACGACCCCCGAAGCAACAATTTCTTGGCACTCATCAAAGATATGTTCGGCAGGAGTAGGCTTTGGGTCAGCATAGACTCCAGCAGGGCTAATATTCAGCTTCTTATCAACGTCATCAGGACTTGCATAAGAGCTGGTTTGACCTTCAGGAGGAGAACGGTCGGTATAGCCGTCTCTGTACCTTTGAGCATACCTGAGGGCTCTAGTCCAAGAGAAACGAGTATGAAGAGCCCTTATCCCACCATCAACCTTGCCAATAACACCAAGCAGGGCGTTACATTCATCCAGAGCCCTCTTCTCAAAAGCCATTTGTTCGGTCTGTTCATCAGCCAGCAAGCGCTGAAAATTTTCTTTTTCAGCTTTCAAAGCTTCCCGCTCAGTCTGCAGGATGTTTTTCTCGAGCTGGAGAGTATTCTTCTCATCCTGAAGAGAGTCCGCATCTTTTTTCAGAACGTCTCTCTCTTTTCTCAACATTGTGTAGCTGCACCATCAGTTCGGCATTCTGGGTGCATGATCTTGCTTTCTTTGTTAGCCGCCTTAAGCCCACTGGCAAGCCTGCGTGCCTGAGCATTAGCCGACTCAATGTCTTTTTGCATCGTCATCATGCTGAACAGAGTCTGCAGACAGATGTATGAATACTAATTAAACGTATATTCAGATAAGTTAAAGTATGAAAGTATTCTGAAATTAGCTAAGTGAAGAAAGAGAATTACCTCCATTGCAGTTAGAGGAAAACGGCTGAACACCTCTTTCTGAGTTAAAGCCTTAGCCACCTTAATATCTTTAGGGGACCATAAATGCTTGTAGTAAGCCATAGCAGTTTGACTTTCCTTGAACATCGTGTCATTTGACTGGACAATCGATCCATCCGAGCGAATAAATCCGGGGGTCCAGGGAACTGATCTTGAAGGAGAGGCGTTAACTCTACCAGACCCAGGAGGGACGGTTGTCCTATTCTGGGAAGATGTGGGCTTGCTCGGCCCAGAAGTTCGAACCCTCCTAGAGAGAGGAAAATCATCGAGATTAGGTTCACTGTCAGGTTGGGGTCTTTTTCCTCGTTGAGCAAATTCAGTGATGGCCGAGGGATTACTAGCCCGGGGGGCAATGTTCAGATGGACAGGCGAGGCATTAGAGATTGGATTAGTGGTAATCACCACATCCGGAGTACTGTTAGATGTAGTGCCAGAAGAGGATATCGAGGCTAGAGAAGGAGCAGGGGCAGGAGCAGCAGTATTTCTAGAAGGGTCTTTCCTCTTGCTGAAGAAAGGAATCCGAAGTTAACTCATGGTGCTACCGAGGAGTAAGATGTCGCAAGGTTCTCGGACACAAGAAGATCAGAACAGGAAGGAACGTTGTTCAAAACGTACTTCTTCATGTAGTTGATCCTATCCTTGCAATACTGTAGCTTAATTCGTTATAAGGAATGCCCAGGGAACGGCATAGAAAATTGCAGAAACGAGGAGTGCAAACTTCACAAGGGCAATCACTTTTGTGGGTTTTGTATTTTGGTACGAGGAGATATAACATTCACTAAAGGCGGTCAGGATAGGGTAATCCCTAGCAGCTGGAGCAAACCAGGCCCCTCTAACCCCAACTATGTTGTCCTTCCAACCTTTCTCCGAGTCAAGTTTATCCTTACAGATTGACCTCTTTTTGATAGGGAAAAAATGATAACACATGTCGTTCAACCTGATCTTATTGACCTTGTAACAAAGGAGAAGATCTATAATATCCAGATCCAGACCCCTGTCACGGTTCAGAAGCAGCAGAACGGACAGAACCATAAGAAAATTGGGATTCACCTGAAGAGGGGAAAGCCCCAACCTATTGAAAACGAAACTGAAGAATGGGTGTAGAGGGAATTTAACAACATTTAGATGAAGAAGGGAAAACAAGATCTCGCCGGGAAGAAAGCCAGTGCCGGTCCTAATATCCACATTAATAGGGCACTCCCTAATATAAATGTCACTGGGAAGGTGAAGTTTCATGCGAAGAACATCTAAATCGATGGGTATGGCGAAAGCGAGTAAAGATCACAAGGAAGTATGTAAAGTTTTTGTTTTTTTTTTTAAAAAAAAAAGAGAAAGAAGAAGATGAAAGAAAGTGAAACTAACCTCGACAGAGTTGAAGATCGCAAAAGCACGACAGGATAACTAAAAGGGAAAATCTTGTGCGAGAATTCACCGACGAGGATTTGATTTGCTTGGAATGGCCAAATAGTAGAGTTGATTGATAGTGATGAGTGATAGAGACAATAGAAAGATGTATGAGTACGGGCTCCTTGGTTTATAAAGAGAAAGTGGATCCGAAAGCCGAGACGTCAGGAGACTGAAGGGTTTTCGAAATTCAAAACATTGATTCTTGAACCGACCACTCACTCCCACACGTGATCATCTTGAGCCGCCGAGTTATGATTGATTGCCATTAATAATCACACCCTAATTAATTAGGGAGTGATTATGGGGGCAGTTGAGGACACCAAGTATGGCGTGGATCGAATACGGCCCATATGACATAAAATGGGTCAAGTAGGTGATCCTGATCCGAACCAACCAGTCTCAAGCTAGGCCCAAGATTGAATAGTGATGCTGAAGGCCTGCTAAAAATAATCGAGTCCATGTCAAAGGAAGTCCGGAACATGGCCCAATGCAAGGAATTAATTAGGAAACCTCTAGGACCATTGCAACAGTCTATAAATAGATTGAAAATAGAGGGAAAAGAGAAAGAAAAATATTGAAGTGTAATAAAACTCTATTGAAATTAAGAGAGAAATTTCTTGCATCTTCACGTACCATCACTGTTAAAAAAAAAAAGAAAATCCCAATAGCAGTGTGCACTAGTTTTCGGAGTTTGTACTTTATTTTTGTTTTTTGTTTTCTATTTTTATCTTTACTTTTATTTTATATACTTTTATTTTTATTTTATATTTTTATCTTTACTTGTCCATTACTGGCATCCTCCAATAGTGTCATTTTATAAATTATTTATTTTTATATATTTTATAAAATAGCTCAGTAAGAGTAATTTAGATAACTTAAGGTTTAAATTTGTCTATGGAATCTATTTGCACCGGAACTTTAGGGGTATTTTTTGTACAAGAGGAGTATCCTCCAATAATGTCTTTTTTGACCATTTTAAAAAATTATTTATTTTTATATATTTTATAAAATGGTTCAGTAAGAGTAATTTAGTCAATTTAGGGTTTAAATTTGTCAAAGGGACCTATTTACACCAAATTAAAACTTTAAGGATATTTTTTTGCACAATTGATCACGAAGTTGGTCAACTTTCGTGAAGAGTGTGATATTCACTGTAAACATATTTTAAGAGTGTTTTCTGCACTTGACCCTAATAAAATGTGATTTAAATTTTGAATCCAAAATTAAAATGGCTCGCAATGAATCTTTCTTGAACCATCTATCACAATAGTTCTGAAAAGAAATTGATTTTATACTGATACATCAATTAATATTTTTACCTTTTGTTGGGATCCTGTTTAAATTATATATATGAATCTGATATGAGTCATGCCCATGGATTCATTTTGGAGTTAAATCTCCAAAAAAATTCACTGAAGCATTTATTTGGTTAGATAGAAATGAAAAGAGAATAAATTTTTTTGGGAGAGGAATTACTTTCCATAACCACTTAATTTTTCTATAATTTTATTTATAAAAATACAAAAAAAATTAATTTCTAGAGCTCAGTTTTTTATGGTAACTTTCATTTTCTTTTAATTTAAATCATAAAATAATATTTATTTATTTTTCTTTATTTCTTTATTTATTATTATTTTTTTTACTTTTGACAATCATTTTTCATCCATCCAAAAGGAGTTTAGGTGAATTTTTTTTAGTTCAAAAAAACTTGATTTAGATTAAATTATTTTGATGTGATTTTTTCAAGACAATTACTGACCTCCAAACACTGTGGCAAGAGTCTTTGTGTTTTGATTATTAGGAAAAAATATTTTTTGACATCATAAGTTATTTTATTAGTGGGTTTAATGTTTTATTATTAGAGTGTTTCCGATTTAGTAGTGTTGATAGAAATTTAGGAAGTAAGTTTTTAAAATTTAGCTTCTGAACTGCGCTCATAATTTAAATAATTTGTGAATGGTATACGGCGTGCTCAAAAGAAAAAAATAAATAAATATAAGAGTCAATATTACTCATTTACTATATGATTTTTCTTTTTTCATTCGAAACAATATGAAAAGGAAAAAAAACTAGTACTTGCTTCGACCGACGACGAGGCTATATTCCGCGTTCTCTGTAGCTAAAAAACTCCTTACGCTCGATTCGGATCTCTCTCTATCTATATATATACACACAAACTCACAGATACACAAATATGTATGAATAAGGATATGAACTGAAGAGGTCTTCAGATTTCGAAGTTTCAAGTAAGCATTCTCAATTGGAACACACTATACATACACACGAGGAGTGATCTACGTCTCCAATGGCGCGTCCTTTTCCATCTTCTGCGTTTCCTCTGATCCTCTTGTTCCCCTTGCTTCTCAACGTCGCTGTTCACTGCAAAACCCTCAAAAGAGACGGTAATTCTCACTTTTCTCTTCAATTTCATCCATTATTACATTTTTCCCCCAATTCTACAATAGCCGTAGATTTTCCCTATTTGGACGAACTACTAGTCTACTAGTATATTCTCTCTAAGCATTGTGTTAGTTGTAGTAACTCGTGTGGAGGACTTGAACTGCGTTTTGATCTGATCTTTTAATCCACAATCATCATTTAGCCCCATCGTGTGGTATTCTGATTGGGTAGATTGGAGCTGAAATTTGGATCTTTAGATTTCTGAGAATCATGTTCTAGTAGTATACATTCATGCAATAATGGTAGATTAGCCTATTTGGACGAACTACTAGCACTCCTCTTTAAGTATTGCATCTAGTTTTCGTAATTCGTATGGAGGACTCGAACTGCGTTTCGATCTGATCTCTTAATCCACTATAGTTTATTATGCTGAAATGTATTGAAGTTACAATTTGATGCATTTTTTAGAATTTTGCAAATTTTTTTTGCTAGATATGGTATTCTGATTGAGTAGATTGGAGCTGAAATTTGGATCTTTAGATTTCTGAGAATCATGTTCTAGTAGTATACATTCATGATTCTGCAATAACGGTAGATTAGCCTATTTGGACGAACTACTAGTACTCTCTCTTTGAGTATTGCATCTAGTTTTCGTAATTCGTATGGAGGACTCGAACTGCGTTTCGATCTGATCTCTTAATCCACAATCATTATTAAGCCCCATATGTTAATATGTTTGTGTATTTATATTAATATTGCTTGAAGTTATAGTTTATTATGCTGAAATGTATTGAAGTTACAATTTGATGTATTTTTTAGTTAAATATAGTATTGTGACTGGGTAGATTGGAGCTGAAATTTGGATCTTTACACCTATGAGAATCATCTTCTAGTAGTATACATTTAGATTTTTAAAATTTTTAAAAATGGTGAGTTTGTGGTGTTTAAATCCATAAAATTGATGACACTGTTGATGAGAAGATAATATGGTAATAAAAGAGAACACAATTGAATTTTAACGTGGATTATTCTTTTTCTATGACCGACTAGATATGTAGGTCGTTTTCCTTTTTATTTTTTCCTATTTGGGTGGTCTAACTTGATGTTCTACATTATAATTTTGTAGTGAAAGCTTTGAATGAAATTAAGGCCTCTTTGGGATGGAGGGTGGTTTATGCATGGGTAGGAGATGATCCTTGTGGAGATGGTGATTTACCACCGTGGTCTGGAGTCACGTGCTCGACTCAGGGTGATTATAGAGTGGTTACGGAACTGTAAGCATTACCTCCCTTTTACACTCGGTATTTTTTATTATACAGATTTTATTTACTTGTAAACACCACAGCTCTTTCTCACTGACTCGTTTACCATTTAATCTGTTTGTGTTATAATGCTATCCAGTTCTGAGTATGTTCATTTGAAGAAATGAAAAGAAGTTGTGAAATGGAGTGTGTGGTGGTGTGTTGGTAGCATGTTTTAAGGATGTCTTTCTTAGCTAATTGAACACAATATATTATATGGCAATTTACTTATCAAAAAAAAAAAAATTATTATATGGCAATTTAGATTTGACTTGTTTATCTGCATTGAATTTATTTGTTTACTTGCAGGGAAGTTTATGCAGTGTCAATAGTTGGACCTTTTCCTACTGCTGTAACCAATTTGTTGGATCTAAGTAGGCTGTAAGATTCTTCCATCTCTTTTTAAATTCAAGAAATTGCCTTTTTATTTTGTTGGCTTACTATTATTACTGTTATCCATTTTGTGAGTATTGTCACTTTTACTGTAATTTATTAATTACCATTCTTGAACAATCAATTATGGCCAAAGTTGACTCCACATGGTAAGCAGAAACCCTCATCAGCATAGAAAAACTGAAAAAGTGGTTATTGTTTTTGAATCCAACTCACAGTTTGCTATAGAAATGGAAAGATATAATTTTAACCTTTTTATTTGTGCGAATAATAAATTGTTGTTGCTTTATTACTGTAAAATGTCCTTCTTTCTTCAGAACTACTCAAATCTTCCCTCTCCCCCGTTTGGCAATTTATAAGAAGAACTGCTGAAACTATATTTACGTGTCCCTTTGGCAGGGATCTCCACAACAACAAGTTAACCGGGCCAATTCCACCTCAAATTGGTCGTTTGAAGCGTCTTAAAGTACTGTAAGTCCTTTACTTTCCTGTGGATTGATATTAGGTTCCCTGTCTTTTTGTTATTCAACTTGTGCACATGGCAAAATATTGATTCCTACTTTTTTCAGGTGTCCATCCATTTTATTAGTAGTGTAATTATGTAATGAAAAGGTTGTGATATTCTACAATCTCTCTCGTAGGATAGGACTCGGGAACAACATTTTGTAAACAACTGTAATGACGGTGATGATGAATTGCAGTGCTTATGTTGCAACAATACACATGTTTGATAAGAAAGAGAAAATAGACTTAGGTAGCAATGGCATATTTAAAGATGATCTATAGTTGCTGGTAGGAGGGAAAAAGTGCAACTGAACTTAACATGGGACGACATCATTGGAAATGATATATATATATATATATATATAGGATAGATGACTTGTAATAGAAAAGAATGAAAACAGAGAATTTATGTGGCCAACCTCATTCATATGAGGTAAGGCAAGGATGATTGTGATTATCATTTATCAACATATATGAGTTTTTGGGTCAAGGAGATCAAAAGGTGTCATTTGTGTCGGTAAGGAGGAAAGAATGGTGTTTTTATTAATCACCACATCAGATTGTTAGTTTCATGTTTAATGAGACCCATGGAAGCCAAAAATTATAAAAATAAAAATAAATACTGGGCTCAATGGTTTAAATTTCGTACTTATATATACAATGTCTTGTTCACTGTTTATATGAGGCAAAAATTATGGCAAAAATTTATGGTCTTCAGTGATGAAGTTGTATACAACTTCAGGTAACATTATTATCAGCATTTTTGAGCCTTAGCAGTAAACATCTTCGACACTGATTTCAACTTTTTGAACCTTAGTAGAAAACATCTTCAACACTGATTTCAACTTCACTAAAGTGATTCATTTTTTATCCTCAAACGGTAAAGTTATTCACATTCCCACTTATAGATCAGTAAAGTTATTGATTGAAATAACTTGTATGCCCTTCAGTAATGTCTTCTCCGTAGTTCAAATTTATGCACAAATTTTGTACTTTATGCATAAATTTAGGTTCCACTAAAATTTTCTGATAATTTGCTTTCAGCATTGTGGTGTTGGGCCAAAATTTCAGCACTTCGTGTATACAATTACTTGTTCTCCTGTTCACTTTTTTTTTTTACTCAGTAATTTGAGATGGAATAAGCTGCAAGATGTCATTCCTCCTGAAATAGGAGAACTAAAAGGACTAACACATCTGTAAGTAATTTTAACATCTTTGAGCGTATTTTATTCTGTTGGGAATATTTCTCATATAATTTATTCAATGTTGAGTTAACAAATTATTGATTGAAACTTCTGCAGATACCTGAGTTTCAATAATTTCAAAGGAGAAATTCCCAAGGAGCTTGCGAGTCTTCCCGAGCTACGCTATCTCTATCTACATGAAAATCGTTTTATTGGGCGAGTTCCACCAGAATTGGGAACCCTGCAAAACCTTCGGCACTTGTAACAATCCACATTACCTTTACCACTGTATTTTTAGGGTTTGCAATTTGTATCTTGCAACATATGATCTAATAATGATACTGTGGTTTTCTAGGGATGTTGGAAACAATCATTTGGTGGGAACCATAAGGGAACTAATACGTATTGAGGGATGTTTTCCAGCTCTTCGCAACCTGTAAGTCATCCCAGTTGATGAATCCTGAATATTTCATTGATGCTTTCCAACTAGTGGTCATTGCTGTAGGAGGGAAGAGTAGTGGAAGGAATAGAGGGAAAGAAAGGGGAGGGATTGTTGAAGTGTACATGGTTTTTCAGGAGAGAGAAGTGATGGGAAAGAAGAGAGGAGGGGGCCTTTCAATTATGCAATATCCCCTTCCTTCCTCCTCTCTTCATGCTGAATCCACACACACACACACACACACACACACACACACAGTCCTTCCTTTCCCTAGGGTTACTTCTTCATCCCTCCTACCTTCCGATCTTTTTAAACAGAGGGTAAGGGTATAGAGGAAGTGCTAATTTCAGAGCATTTTCTTTTTACTCTTAATTCGCAGTTATCTGAACAATAATTATCTTACCGGAGGCATCCCATCGCAGCTTGCGAACTTGACGAATTTGGAAATCTTGTAAGTACTGCATTTTCATGTAAAATGTGGTGTGGTATTTATTTTCTCAGCGGATTTCTGTTGGTTGCCACTCCATTAAAATTTGAAATTTGACTGCTATGTTGGTTACAGGCATCTATCATACAACAAAATGACTGGAATAATACCATCTGGAGTAGCCCATATTCCCAAGTTGACTTACTTGTAAGTTTGTTTCCAACTCCTCTCCCTGTTTTATTACATGCCTGCTTGGTTTCTTTATAAGAATGCTTCTACATGCATCGGTATGAAGGAGTTGTTTCTGTTCCAAGAGTAGTATGTATAAATTTTCCAGTTCGGATAAATTGTTCATTGGATCATACCTAGCTTTTCCCTGACCCAATCCAATTTGTCTTAATTTCCACATATCACATTCTCACAGACAGGCAGGATAGGGCAAATTGTCAATGTAATGTCTGTCTAAACAAATTGAAACCAACTTTTTCCCAAAATTCATTTACAGACTAGACTATGTAGGAAATTGATGCTTTTAGTTTGTCATCAAAATGATAAAATTTTCTTTAGAATTCTGGTGTCTCATTTAACTTCGATTGTCTTCCTATGTTTATAAGTTTGGGCATGCTGAACATCTGTTTGCACAAGTTTCTTATTGGCACCAAAGTTGAAGCAATATCAATGTTTTACATGCTCTCTTATTTCCATCAATATCTCTCTTTCTTCTCCTCTTCTTTTTTTTTTTTTTTTTTCCTTTCTTTTTTAGTTTTTTTTTGTCCCCCATATTTAGCAATCTAAAAACTGAAAAGTTTGATGTCCATTGTCCAGATGACATCCTAATCCTTGTGGCCAAGAATATTTTTCATTCACAATTTTTTTTCACCAAGAACATTTTTTATAAAACTCAATAAAGAAGCCCGGCTCCCTAATAAGTTTGACCCACGAATTTGGAGTATCCTACATTCATGCAATTCACAGGATTCACAAGCAATCGCTATTTCACGATCAAGGGTGTAATACTCTGTGTTTGTATTAATTGTATCATTTTTTAAAGTTGTTTATTGGTATTAGGTCTTCAAGGAAAATTCCATTGGCCTGATTAACTACAACAAACTTGTTTATTCTATGATAGCTTTTATGCATTTGGTTATAGTTAGTGGCATCTTTTCTTCTCTCGTTGATTTTTTAATTTCTAAGTTTAGCATGCAGCCAATATTTCAGCATTCATTTTGTCGTTGTATGTGTTGGAAATTTCATCAATATATATGAAGCTTGTTTAACTGATTTCAGGTATCTGGATCACAACCAATTTACTGGGAGAATTCCCGACGCTTTCTATAAGCACCCCAACTTGAAAGAAATGTGAGTTTCTTGTCTCAACTCAATCTCAGATGGATAATATATATATATATCCCTTTTTTAGATAGATAATCTTACTAAATTGTTAGGTAAAATAAATGATTGAATTTATTGCAGGTACATTGATGGAAATGCATTCCGGCAAGGCGTGATCCCAATTGGTGTCCACAAAGTCCTTGAAGTTTCTGATACGGACTTCTTGTTTTAGTCAAAATATCAACCCATTCTTCATTTGTAGAAGTTTACAATTTTTTGGAAAAATGAGGGTTCAATGGATGATGTTCTGAATGGAAATAAGAATTCAATTGATGTTCCAAATGAAGTTGTGTTGGTAGTTTTCTATGATTCTATCACCTCTCGCCTGTAAGGTGTTGCTTTACTGTAAATAGTTTCATATTGCAAGACATCGGGTTAGTCAAAGACATCAACCCATTCTTAATGAAGACAACCTCCATAATCAGTTTGTACTGTATCTGGTTTCATAATGCAATCAAATATATATATATTTTTTACTGCACTGGAAGATCTCGCATTAAGTAATGATCGTGAAATCTCTGTACAATGGTTTTGCGGTTAATTTGTTTGAAGATTTTGGATCAAAAAATTAGCTGTACATTTTGTTTGAAGATTTTGGATCAAAAAATAAGTAGTGCATGTGATATTATCAAAATTGTTTAAACTGATAGCTAGAAATTGATAAAACTTCATTCATTTTTTAAAAAACAAAGCTCAAAATAAAATTATAACAAAAAGTACTTTAAACATAAATAACGAAGCATTCTTGTACATTTTAAAAAGAAAAATACCCTAATATTTGTTTTGATATTACTACACCAATCATAATATTACATTCTGATACTTTTTTAAAAGAAAAATACCAACATTTGTTTTGATATTACTACAACAATCTTTCTTATAAGATAGAATCATGATACAAAACATACAATCTCTACCTATAAGATAGAATCATACCACATTGAAATTACAAAACGTAACGCACAAATAGTGTGACCAGTCAGTTTGTGCATTAGTTGCTTGGTTTCTTATTAGAACCCAAATGAAAAATGCTGGATTGATCTAGAAATGGAGTGGTGGTTGTCCAGACTCCAAGTTAAACAAAGAGATTTTAATTATACATATATACTAAACAACAAAATATGGCAAATCTGTTGTTATATACATACCATGACGCTTCAAAAACAATCAATGACATCGAATAGTAGAAAATTTTCAACAATTAATCATCTTAGTTGGACAAATCACGTAGCATCAACTTGAAATAGAATTGGGTTACGCCCTGAATAATCCGGTTGCTTGTTCATCATCCCCAAAAGTGTATGCACTTCTTCCATCTGCGGGTGAGTTTTCTCCCCTGCAACAAACTCATGAACAGTGCCACTAATCTCAATTGAGCTGCAACCTGGTGTCTTGTCTATTCCTCCCCTTCTCATCATCTTCCTCATCCTTCTTGCCCTATCAAATTGGCCTGCAGTAAAATATACATTTGAGAGCAGAATATAGACACCACTATGGCGTTCTAACTGCAAAAGTCTCTCAGCTGCAACCTCAGCCAGTGGAATTTGTCCTTGACTACAGCAAGCACTTAACAACGCTCTCCAACTTATAGCCTCTTCAGAGGGACTCCTCAAATTGGGTGTCCTCTGGATTATATCCTTTGCTTCTTCAAGAAGCCCAGCTCGACCAAGAAAGTCAACTATACAACCGTAGTGCTCACTCTTGGGTTCTATAGTGTGTTCATTACACATACGATTCAACACCCTTAGACCTTCATATGCCAAGCCTGAATAACTACATGCCGTGAAAATGGCTATGAATGTAATGTCATCAGGTTGGATCCCACACGCCTCCATCTCAGAAAACAACTTGAGAGCGCGTTCACCATCTCCGTGCATTGCCAATCCAGAAAGCATAGCATTCCAACAAATAGTATCTCTTTGAGGCATTTTGTCAAATACCTTCTCAGCTAAATCCAAGTGCCCACATTTAGCATACATGTCTATGAGAGCAGTGCCCAAACGAACACTCAATGGCAATCCATATTGATCCAAATATCTGTGAATCCAAATCCCAATATCCAAAGCACCTAAATGAGCACAAGCACTAAGTATGCTCACAAATATGGCCTCGTCAGGTTCAATGCCGGCCGTTTGCATTAAGCGAAACAATTGTAATCCTTCCTTGAAACAATTATTCTGCACATACCCAGAAATCATAGAACCCCATATTCCTCTATCCTTCACTGGTGCTTCATCAAACATCAATCTCGCTGAGTCAACATCCCCTTGTTTTGCATACCCAGAAATCAATAGCGTCCATGACATAACATTTTGCCGAGGAATTTCATTAAACACATGTCTGGCCGCAACCATATTATCAAATGCAGAGTACATGGCAATCAAAGTATTACCCACAAAAACATCAAACAAAAAGCCAAGTTTCAAACTGTGCCCATGAATTGATTCACCTAGATGACAATTTCGCATTATTGCACAAGCCCTCAACACATAGGGAAGAGTGTAATTATCAGGGTACATCTCATTTCTCAACATTTGGGCATATACTTCTATGGTCTTGATTAGTTCCCCCTTGAGGAGGAAAGATTTGATGATTGTGTTACATATGCAAATGGTGGGCTGTTCAATCTGTTCAAAGATTTTACATCCATAGGATAGGCTACCATGATATGGGTCTGAGCAGAAGGCCAATAACCTGCTGAGGGCAAAGCTATTGGTTCCAAGGCCACACGTGATTAACTGTGCATGAGATTGCTTCAGCTGATTCATGGTCTTACATTTTTCCAACAATAAGAGGCATCTCTTGGTTATTGTTGACATGGACTCCCCTCCACCTTCATCTGCTAGAAAAGCAGTAAGTTTTAAAATTAAGATCACTCGTTCTGCAAATTTTAGAAGTTACAAGGCTTAATTTATGTTTTTAACAATTATGGCTCTTTATTCGTTTCCCATGCCAAGCTAAGGTGGTCTAATCCAACGTAATATTTATTTTCGATAAATAGACAAAGATACCCTCATGAGTTGAAAAACCCAGATTCAGTGCCACTTTAGCGTTTATGCATCGCATAATTGAATCAACATGTGCCTTGCTTAAATGAACCAAAATCATCTCTAGTGCACAAGTATTCCAGTTACAGGAGGTTCACTGAGAGATTATGGGTCACTGGAAGATTTTTTTCGCATTGAACTCATTAACTGTTACCCCTTTCTTTCCTTCCTCACATATTATAGCTCACAAGGTTGACACCCATGTCAGTAAAATAAATAAATAAAGAATTCAACCATTTGTAGGCAGGGCTGCAAATGAACAGAGCCAAGTTTCAACCTAAAAATCATGTTGATTTAACTAGGGAAAAAAAATAATGTTGATTTCAGATTAGGTTACTTTTATAAATGAAAAAATTGTAGAGAAGAAGAAAAAGAAATATATGGAGAAGGAATACTCCTCCCTTTCACATCTATCATATCCCTTCTAGTTAGGCCCGCAAACTCAGATCAAACTTGTTATTGGAACGAGTTCAATCCGAAAACCTTATCTTGCCACTTTAGGCATGCAATGATTATAAATATGTAGTTTTGAAAAGACTCGATAAAATAAGCTCGTGAACAAAACTCGTTTATTAAGAATTGATTAAATGAGATAAACGAGCCGAGCTAGAATACTAATATATGAACACATCTCAAGCTTGAACCCCGGTTTTATTTTTGAGCTTGCCATTGAAAAGGTTCGTTTGTAGCTACTTTACATTTGTTTGCCTAGAGTGAATTTTGTAATTTTTTTTTTCTTCAAGAAGAGGATTCATATATAAAACAAATATGCGGTTAGTTCTCGTTAAAATGAATATATGTTATTAAGTATCATTATAAATATCTATATAAATTGCTTAGGATATATATATATATATATATATTTAGTATGTGGATGAATACACCTGGTAAAGTGAAAAGGCTATCATGATTTATATTAATTAAAAAATATTAGGAAAAAGAGAAATGTTGATTGACACATGAATTAATTAATTATTAAAAACTATATATAAATATATGTTAACTAGACTCGAGTAAGTGTATTGGGTGGAGGTTTGTTTCGGATCCCCTTAATTCCAAATAATAGGCTCCAGGAATATGTGTGCAAAACTTATAATATTGAGTCAAAACTCAACTGTTGACAGGCTTAATAATATTGAACTTGATATCGAGCAATTTGTAATTTTTTAAATTTTTTGCGAGGTAAAGGTGTATTGAAAATAATTTCAATTTTGAAGTGATGTATAGTTTATTATTATTATTATTATTATTATTATTATTTTTGAATTTTTTCAGTGAGTAGTCTTACTAAAATAGTAACAAATAATAATAATACCATCATCATAAATTGAGCTTTGATTCACTATTATGATTATTATTATTACTACTACTATTATTATTTTTAAATTTTATAAATTACGTTCCGGCCAGTTTGTATATTTAATAAATACTACTACGAAAGAAAAGGATAGTACCACGTCTCCAACGAAATAGTAATTAATATTAAGGTTTGATGCAATGTTCAAGGTTTTATACAATAACACAATAGTAAACAACTCCAACAAGAATTGAAATAGAACTTATATAAAGATAAATTTTAATCTCAGTTTTGCAGCTTCAAAGTTGCACGACACAAAATTTAGTATATATAACTTTGAAAATGTATTCTATCATTCAGTTACACCCTAAAATCCAATTTCCTTACAACTGCAAATATTTATGAAAAACCCTGTAGCCTATTTAAAAGATAAAATCATATTATACACATGAAAATGCATGTAAACAAGAGTTCAAGAATAGATATTACATGATCAACATGCACTATAAGAAAAACAGTTTTTTACCACGCCCTTTCTACCACGGTTTTAAAATAACCGTGGTAAAAAACACTTTCTACCACGGTTATAAAATAACCGTGGTAGAAAATTTATATTTTACCACGGTTATTTCAAAACCGTCGTAGAAAGTTTATTCTACCACGGTTATTTTAAAGCCGTGGTAGTAATTATATTTTTTACCACGGTTATAAAAGCACCGTGGTAGAAAGTTAATTTATTTCACCACGGTTTTCCATTAACCGTGGTAGAAAGTGAGGTTATTTCACTAAATTTTAGCGGGATAAGGTCGCGTCCTTTGTGCCGCTTTTTCTACCACGGTTAATGGAAAACCGTGGTAGTAATTCAATCTACCACGGTGGAGCACCGTGGTAGAAATTGAATATAGAAGGCGGGTTTTATTCCCGCTAGTTTCTTAAAGAAAAAATTAATCTTTTTTTTTTTTTTGATATACATAAATATATATAGCCTCGCACGTACACAGACCACATAATTTAGGGCAAATCATTTCAGCTTCTCCTCACTTCGATCAGCATCCCAAATCGCCTCATCTTCTCCTCACTTCGATCAGCATCCCAAATCGCCTCCATCTCTATTCTCGTTCTCCTCACTCCCAAATCGCCTCCATCGCTATTCTCGTTCTCCTCACTTCAGCATCCCAAATCGCCTCATCTCTATTCTCGTTCTCCTCACTTCAGCATCCCAAATCGCCTCTATCTCTATTCTCGTTCTCCTTACTTCAGCATCCCAAATCGCCTCCATCTCTATTCTCGTTCTCTGCTCTGAAGTTACCCTCTCTCTGTCTTTGCAAGTGTAAACTACAAAATCTACAAGAATCAGAACCCATATCGACATATCATATATTATTGTTCAAAATCAAAACCCATATCCTTCAGTTTCCAAATCCTGCTGTTCCAGTTCGATTGGGTTCGCCTTTCGCAAGCTTCAGGCTCTGTCCCGGTGTCTCTCAACTCTCAAGCCATCTCTCTGCAGCTACGAACTTGTATGAATGGGTTTTGTTTTATTAATTTTTTTTTCTAAATCAATTAATAAGGTCTGTAATTCTTGTTTTGCAAACTAAATCCTATTTGGTGAAACAGGATCTCCCTTTGCAGGGTTTGAAAGACTAATTGGTAAATTTGGGTTGAATTTGAGTCTTAAACAAGCTGAAGGCCCTGGTAAGTCATTCTTCAATTATTCAATATAAATTTTTTTAGGGCAAATCATTAATTTCAGCCTCCCCAATCACCTCTATTCTCGTTCTTGACTCTGATTTTGGGGAATGTGGTTTGGAATTTGGGGTTTTATTGGTTTGATTAGCCAATCTTTAAGGTTTTTATTGGTGGTTTAGTGAATCTCTGCTCTTTCTTCAGTTGTATAATAAATCTAAAGAGAGGGTTTGGTTTTTGTCATTCTAGTTTACAATGCATCTCTTAGTTCTGGGCCAATCACCTATCTCTGTCTTTTTGTTTAGCAAATGTATCCCGACATTGTTATTGTCCTTAATTTGTTGAGATGAACCTTTTCCCACATAATTACTTTCCAAAGCTTCTATCCTTCTTTTCAAATGACAGAGAAATGAATATGTTCTTATCTTCATATTTAGTCATTAAGGATTTTCTTCCCCTTAAGAGAACTACCATAAGTCATATGCATAAAAGACAAACAGGCTAAGACCAGTCAAATTTCTAGAGACACCATTAATAGTTGACAGGTAAATGATATCTATTACATTTCAGAAGCAACTGGAATTGGAAACATAATTAGAATAACCATAATAAACATTGACGGCAGAAAGAGATGAAACATAAACATTAAGCACCTGTTTCCAAATAGCAGAGTTCCAATTCGTCATATTCACGTAATGAATCTTTATGAAGATGAGCCATCTCAAACATGAAAGCCAAGCTTTACTATAAATAGAGAAAAAAACACTAGATAACTCGGAATATTCTAGAAAGAAAATACTCTGAATAAGAATGTTATGTAATTATGAACACATGGCTGAGAGGACACGAGTTAATGTTAGTTGGCCGGCCACCACCTATGTTAAATGGGAGGCATATTCTTTCTTTTCTGTTGAAAACTTCTCCAGATGTGCTATATAATTCAACTAAGTTTACATGAGTAGGGATCATGAAAATCCACAATACGAATTTCCGAAAAAAAAATAAAAAATAAAAAAAATCCACAATACTGAAGTAAGATATCTCCTTACAGCCAAGCGCCCGTACATAACAATCTCTTAGTCACTATAAAGATAGTTTTACCACTGCAACTACCTTTAGAATGAAAAAGTTGCAAAAGTTCCAAATGAGCATGAAACGCTGTTCACTGAGCTTACGAATCTCATCCTCATAAAACTGAATACGCCTGTCAAGTGTGTTCCTGATGCATTCCACTATTTTGGATTCCAAGTCATCCCAGAAATTTGCTTCGGGTCCATGTATATCAAATTTGCAGCACCTGAGTGAAAATATATATATATATATATATATATATATATATATATATATATATATATATATATATAAATATAAATAAATAAATAAATAAAATTTAGACCATCAGGGAGAACAAGGGGCTTTTGTAAGTACTCCTTTTATATTTCCCTTCAGTTTATTAAAATCTTTTAAAATCACCCTTGACCTTAACCTTATGAAATCATGTTAGTCAAAATATGATGCTTTTTGTACCAATCATGGGCCAAAATGTTTTAGATGACTCAAACACAACACTGTTGAGATTCAGATCCAGGCCAAAGAGCCATTTCAATTTGAAAGGAATCTAGGCAGAACGAGGGAACTAGCAGAAATGCAATGAAATAGAAAGGGGTAATTACACCGGAAAGGAAAAGAAGAATAAGATAAAGATGATTATGATGATGATGATGATGATTGAAAGGACAATAACCATGAAGTGATGAAAATCAAGTTTTTGAAAATTGATTACCTTTTAAAATAATCCTTTACGTAACTTAGTGACACTTACAATTTCCTATTTTTCTCTTACAAAATTTAAATTAGTGGCTTTGACTTGAAAGACGCATTTGTTACAGGATTTTCAATTGCATGACCTA